CTCAGTATATCGCGGACAATAGCCAGCTTTGGGTCACAGGGGGAGGTAAGTATATGTCCTCCCGTGACCCTAAAGAGAACTATGGGGGAAAACACTTTCCTCAGTTCTCTTTTAAGTGTCAATTACCTAGTGGGTTCAGGCACATATATAAAAAGTGTTTATGGAAAGATTAAATGTAATCATTTAAAATAAAGCTCCATGTATCATTAACATTTGCCAATTTTTGTTCTTACTGTTATGTGCTGTAGGCATAAATGTGCCTACACATTCACAGCAGTCAGATATTGCCTGCCATCCTCTATATGTGGCCAGTTTAGATCTAGATCAGGAGTAGGCAACCTTGGCACTCCAGCTGTGTTGAAGTTGCAAATCCCATCATCCCCCTGTCTGGAGTCATGTCCGATTTACCCTTGAAGCCTTGAAACTTTAGCGCATATGGAAGAATGGATTTGGCTCAATATTGGGTCAGTTTCTGAAGTAGGTGTTTTGCATATGGTTGATGAGTGAAGAATTCTAGAACAAAGAGCCATTGACCGCAAAAAGTCCAAGCATGTCTGTGTGACTGCACTTATTCAATTCTGGCAGCCTGGTGATTGGGTGCTCAGACAGAGCATAGTTACATGGGGGAGATCAGCTGCACCACCATACATGCCAGACCCACTCCATTAAGGTCCCCACACACCTTGCGATAATCGTACGATAATGGCGGGAAACCCCGCGATCGTACGATTATCGTAAGGTGTGTGGAAGCCGTGCGACCTCTACTACTGTAAGGTCGCACGACTTTTAACTTACGAACATGTGCGAAACCCCACCGAGCATCGTACGATGTTCGGCAGGTGTGTAGCATGTTCGTACGATAAAAGCTGGACGGGCCGGTGTGCGCAAGCGCACACTGCCCGTTCTGCATTGCGGTCATCGGGACCCCGCCCCTCAGGGAAGCGCGGCTTGCGATCATCACAAGTACGATCTGCCTGTCCAAGATGGGCAGATCGTATGTTTTCTTAAGTACCTTGCAACCATTGCAAGACAAAAGTCTTGCGATTGGTTGTAAGGTGTGTGCCCAGCATTAGAACAATGAAGTGAAGAGGTGGCAAAGAAACACCTTGCTGAAGGGGGCTATCTGCATACTGTATTGAATTGGGAAAAGGGGAGGAAATAGGTGGTCTACCATGTAGATTAGAAGGGCGGGGTCTAGTCATAACTAATTGCCATACTTGTGCAATGCATCATTATGACAGCAGACGCCCACAATAGCAGCCTGCATATTTTCCCAGTCAAGGTTTCGCCCCTGTGACTATTGCTATTTTTTCCTTTTCTTTCAAGGACAGATTTTACTGATTGAACAAGGAATAGGATTTGATGTACTCCCTAAAGTATGCAGAAATGTGCCCGTAGCATTGACGAGACCAAAATTACGAGGCAATTGCAGATGGTCCGTGACAAGTCTGCTTTCTAAGCCCGGTTCCATTAAAAGCAATTTGTGAGAGACTTTAGGGAAATGCTGCTCTGCAGTATATGAACTCTTCACCTGCGGTCTCATGCCGTGATAAAACTGCTGTTGGAGAAGTGAAAATGTAACATGTCACGAAGTCTCTCTGCACCAAGTGTAGAATTGATTGAGACATATTAATCAATGAATCATTTGACAGTTAATGAGGCTCTGTAAAGGAGATCATACACTAAGTGCCTGTTCACACGATGTCCGTTTTGTGTGCTGACCTGATCCGTACGCTCCTGCACTGTGTTGTGTAGGACACAAAATAGTTTATCACGGTGTGACAATTTCACATTTCATACAATTTTTTTTCACATTTTAGGATCATAATTTTTGAGTTTGGAGCGCAGTGCTATTTTCTTTCTTTTTTCCTATTTGGCCTCATTCACATGAGAGACAGCCGTCACGTACAGCTCAGTGCTGCGTGCACGGCCGTATCGGGCAGCTCCCGGGAAGGACAGGTGCTGCGTGGGATTAGTACGCAGTCTTTCTCTATGGGACTACGCGGCCGTACGCCGCCCTACGCTCATCCTTTCTGCACATCCGTGCGGGTGTCCCGGCTCGGATGCAGACAGAATCCATGCTGTCAGCGTAGAAGTATAGACACCCGCACGGATGTTGCATAGAGAAGGACGGCTGCGGACTAATAACACGCAGCACCTGTCCTTCCCGGGAGCTGCCCGATACGGGCGTGCACGGAGCTGTACGTGCCGGCCGTTTCTTGTATGAAATGAGGCCTTTGAGAAGGCAGCAGTATTGCCTCTTGGGCTCCTGTGAACCGGGCGAGTCTAAAGTATAGTTACCAAACACTATCCTATAGAGCCATCACAGAACGAGACCCTCTCAGTTTAATCTGGCCATACACCTATAGATTATCTGCAGATTTTCTATGGTCAGATGGAAAAAGTGCAACAGATTCTTCCATCTACACTAAACTGTGTGCATGGAGGAATCTCCCGCTGGGCCAAGCTTCAGTATCTTGCTAGTCGGCACTGCTGGTGCTCCAAATACCTGAAGAATCTGATTGGATGCAGGCATTGTTCAATCTGTTGCACTTTTTCCATCTGACCATAGAAAATCTGCAGATAATCTATAGGTGTAGGGCCAGCTTTATACAGTGCTAGTACAGGGGGTTCTTGGTTGCAATCATGGGCGCGCCTATGAAATCACATGTTTTTGTGCCTAACATTCGTCTCCTCCTCCATAGTAACTGCTTTCGTTTGGCCTAAACAAAAATCTTTGAAAATGTGCCCTGAAACACACATAGATAGCCGGCGCTCAAATCTATACCTAGCCGGAGACAACTGGCTACCATTGAGTTATGTTATTCCAAATGAAATTGGGTTTTACTGTGGAGTGTGAAATGTGTTTATATTTACTTGGTCACTCCTTATTTATTCATGTATTAGCAATGCTTTCATCAAACAAATGCATGATGCGGGGAGCTGGTTCTTTTATTACACGTCATTCCATAAGCCCACACACACGTGTGTTTCCTTTACACCCGTATTAACCCTGAAGAGCATCCCTGGCCAGCATTGTCTCTTATCTAGAGCTGGGCGTGAGGAGTGTTCTGCTGCCATGGAAACTGCTGTTTGCAGAGGGTCGAGCTATGTACTTTAGTCACATGACTCTACTGTAAGTGTCACTCTGTACAGTTTATTCTCAGGTTGAAGCAAAGTGCTTATTGATAAGGATAGAGAGCTCACATGTAGAACAATAGAGAACATTACATCTAATAGAAACCGCATTCACAACAATGGAATGTGGACTGTGTGCAGTATTTTGTTCATTCTCCATCTTCTATCTATCTTACCTGTACTGTATCAAAAGGTTTGCGCGCGTGCAATGTACATGTGTGTATGTTTATATGTTTATATATATATATATCTCACACACACACACACACACACACACACACACACACACATATATAACACACACACATATATATATATATATACGCATATATACACACACTTGAGTGGCCAGATTATTATGACCACCTGACGTTTGTAGGCAAATTAGCTATAATATCGCGCTGAAGTTGCTAGAGGGCCAGACCATTATAAATAGAGAAGCAGGTTGTTTACCACGACAGTAGAAGTGATTTTTTCTGAAGATATGGGTAAACAATGCGATTTAACAGCCTTTGAACGTGGGATGATTGTTGGCGCTCGGAGCCATGGAGCGAGTATCAGCAAAACAGCAGAATTCGTTAAATGTTGAAGGTCAGCTGTTGTTAAAGTGTTTAAAGACTGGACTGTCAGCCGAAAATCTGGGTCTGAACGTGCTAATTGTGGCCGTCAGCGACTAGTCGATATTAGGGCAGAACGGAGAGTGGCAAGACTGGTAACAGAAGGGCAACAGTGCAGTGTCTGATTCCTCGCATCACCTTTCAACATCTCGTGGAGTCACGAGGTGGCCCAACGAAGTACTGATGGGGTGGTCATAGTAATCTGGCCACTCAGTGTATATCTGTATAGTACCTTTTATTACAGATATTTATATAGCGCCAACAATTTGCACAGCGCTTCACATAGTTGCACATTCACATCAGTGTACATCTGTATGTATGTGTGTACACATATGCATGTTTGTAACTTTGTATATATATTCTTTGCTATGTAGTCTTCTGTATGGCTCTGTGTCTGGCGCTGGGCAGTTTTACACACCCAGCACTATGCTCTTATCAGGAATGTTACTATTTGTTTATTTTTGGTTTTGTTTGTATACAATCTCTATGGCACTTACATACTGTTACAATAGATGGGGAAGAATGCTGTATTTTAAATACAATGATGTTTGCGTACTCTAGCTTTCCTAACAAAATCTTAAACAAAGTAGATGTATCCAGTGCCTTGTAATATCAGGTCCTCTTCACATGCTCCGTGCCTATTGTGAAGGCATGTAGTCACCCTGTTCCAGTTGAACATGATTACCGGGAATCCTGTGCACACACAATTTCCTAATCTGGAAGAATCCCTGGCATTGTGCTACAATGGCCGCAGCCACCACCATCTGGGGCGATTGTCAGCCTTTAATAAATTGCTGTGCACAAATATGTGACAGCTATTGATTGGAGCGACAGGCCGAGGAGAAACCCCGCGCACTCGTGTTCCATTTGATGGTAATCTGAGACTTTTCCGTTACATGAGGCTCTTAAACAAAAGATTGTAATTCCAGCAGCTTTGTTTCAGGGGCGTACCATTGTTTGGGGCTTTGTGCAGCCACGCTAGAAAAGTACCTCCAGAGCCCGGCTGTGCTGCAAGCTGTGTGAGAGGGGAGTGTAACATCTGACCCTCATTCCACAATTGTCCTCATGCTTGGCATTTTTCTGTTTTGCTCCTCTTTCAGGGCAGCCTCCTACCCTCTCCTGTGCAGCTTTGGTACAGCCTCCCTGCTTCCTTTACAATGTCTTATGCTAATCAAGTGACATCACCACTAAATACACAGTGTGGCTACTGATTAAATTACACACCAGCAAGGTTTGAGGAGGTGTGCTTCTGCCGCTTCTGCTGGAGGATCAGAGTGAGAGTTGTAGTGTGCTGCTGCTACACATGTCCCCTTCAGTGCTCGGGGGGTCACATTAGATCAGCACTGAGCCCCCCCCCTTTGGAGATGAGCACACGCAAAACCTGGCTTGTTGCTTGCAGTGCTCGAGCTTGACATAAACGTGGATTTTCTACACTGACTGCACTTTCATTCAGCACTTCAGCTACTCTTGTTTGGGACTTTGTGTGGTTTATGAATCCCACAGCTCCCCTTCCAAATGGAATTGCAAAGGACCTCTAGCCTATCGGGGCCATTGTCCTCCCCAGTACACACGGCCCAGGTACCCTTCAATTACAACCAGCTAGAGGGGAGGTTTAAACAGTTACAAGGTAAGCTGGCTTTTCTTTTCTTTCTTCCTCCTAGCTTGTTGTTAGCAGGGTTGCTATGAGATCGGACAGGAAAGTCGATGCGGGACTGCAGTGTAAATAATGCAAAGCTTTGAGAGATAACCGTCACCTTACATACCTGCATGCTTTAGCTGTGAAAATCTGCCTTCATTATCATAGCCAGGCAACACCTGCCCTTAAATTTACCACATAAGTGTTGTAAATTGCAGAACTTGGCTTGCTCCATGCATGCCACCATGTAATGTGATTTTGGTCACTTGCAATAAATCTGGCATGACTTGATGGCTGTCATTAGTGTGATCACGCCCCGTGTTTTGGAATGGCTGGACAGGACGTGAGGGAACAATGGATAGGGAAGGAGTGGTCTTTTGTATGGAATCCTAACATCCGAGGGCTTAAGGACAACATGGGACAGCCCTGGGCAGCGGCCTGACAGCCATTGAACGCTATGCCACGCTCCCTTACCTGCTTTACATGCACGCACGCTTTGACAGTTACGGGGACAAAGCATACTGCTTTATGCTGTCAGGAACATCAAATACTCACTATGGACCATGGACAAAACTTGTAAACCTAATCAACCTTCTAACTGGCGTAGAAGATTGAAAGATATTGAGTAAAAAAAAATGTTTGGGTTTGTCCATCAGATAGCACCTTGTGTGTGTATGTATGATATATATGTATGAGATACATATATATATCCCATCTGTTAATGTAAAAAATTATATATATTGTTTATATATATATATTATGATATGTTTTGGGCTCTTTTTATTCAGAGCTAGCCATTACTCGCGGTGTCTTTGTGGTATGCATTCAGCCGAGCGTCACATGTTATCGTGTTATGCGGTCACACCCTCAAATCTGTTTAGTTTCACATGGCCAACAAATATTTGACTGTCTGCTAATAATGTAATGCATATGATATCATGTATTTGGATGGATAATACCATGAATCGGAGGATGTCGGCTCTATTATAAGACCTATTCCATCATTCTGTAGACTGACTGGTGGGTGTGTCTGAGGTTCCTCTATAAAGTCATGAACAATATTTGAATAGTTCTCTTGGAGCATTGGAGGGAAGAGGCTCTGAATAAAGATTTATTAGACTCTCTCACTTTAGAGGGTTTATAGAAATAAGATCCTGTTCTTTTGTCTCGATTTTGAGTTGACATTTTCACAAGTGTGTAGAGTTTCATGACGAGTACTTCCTGCTCCCAGAGTCTGAGTGTACATGCACATGGCACTTTGCTATATAGCACGTTACCGTTATTAATGAATAACTTATATTGATTGCCGTATGGCATTTATGAGAATAAACTATGTATAGCTTCACATTTCTGTCAAGTCTTATGTTTTTCAGCTGTCATCGGGTTCAATTCACAAAGCGAACATGAATCCTTATTTTCAAAAAATTTAAAAATTACACGCACGTGGCTGAAATAAAGATCCTTATCCTTGTGTTAGTCCTTGTTTACACGGGCCATGAGGGGGAGGTAAAACTGCGCAGTTGATATGCAGTTTTACTGCCACCCGCTGCTATGTCACACCAAAAAATATACAGCATATTGCGTTTGACAAGCGGCACTGCTTCTCAAATGCAACAATTGCCCTGAATGGTACTTCAATTTAAATCCCAATGGGATTTTCTAACAACCCCTCCCCCCTTACATTCAGGAGTGGCGGTAACGCCTCCTAAGCACCGGGCATCCCCTGCTCCACCACCCTCTGAAAAGCATTCTACCGGCGGAGGCTGCAGCCCATCTGAACAAGGCCTTAAAGCTTTTTGTAATGTGCCATCATAACTTCAGCTCTTATACATCGTAAGGTGTGATCATAATCGTGCAGTATGCCAACCAAAGGCCGTGTTCTAATCAATAATTTACCAGAGCCTTTATAAAGTCTATTTATAGGGCTATGAAAATATATATTTTTCCTGAGTAATTGTATTATGTTGATGCCCAGGTGTGTCTGCGCTATATTTGTCTTTCTCTGTTGCTGAAGTAAAAAAGAGGAAGGATAAGCAATTGTCACCCATAGTGGCCGTGCTTTTAATGTAAAAATCATACAATGCTGGAAATATAAAATGAAGGCTTTGTAAAGACATTTATAATACTCTGCAAAACCGACTCTAGGCCTCATATACAATAATGCACGTGATTTGCTGTGTCGATGGTTAGCAGCTTGTGACTGTTACTTTCAATTCTCGTTGGCAATCATTGCTAAAAACTATGGTCATTATTCAGCACTTCTCTACTTTGTGGAAGTGTATATTTATAGCACAGTTTGTTAATATTTACTATTTTATGTGGTAAATAATTGCCATTGGTTTGCAACCTGAAGTGTATTTTTCATGAAGTGCTCATCTTTAGCAGACCGCTGCAAGGTAAAGAAATGAGGCCTAACACACAGGAGCCTCGAAAAGGAACCGTTGACGCAATGCACCACATTTTGTTTTGTGCCAAATGCCTCAATATACATGAACACTTATGGCTTGTTCACACAAGGTGTGTTCAGCTGCGTAGATGAGCAATGATCAATGCAGTCTCAAAGCTAGGGAACATGGAAAACAGTGGTTTCCTATGTGCCCTGTTTTACACCATGCGTTAGGGTGCATAGTGCTAAATGAGAAGGAAAAAGTTAAAAGTTCTAACACATCATCATTATTATTATTATTATACAGGATTTATATAGCGCCACCAGTTTGCGCAGCGCTTTACAATATAAGGAAGACATTACAAAACAATTCAAGACAGGATGGTAAGGAGGGTCCTACCTGTGAGGGCTTACAATCTAAAAGGGATGGGGACGTGATACATAAGGAGAGGTAGCTGCGTGGGGATGAATTGTTTGAGAACTTGGTGGTTGAGTGGTCAGGTTGAGGTGGGATAGGCTTCCCTGAAGAGATGAGTCTTTAGGGATCGCCTAAAGGCAGTCAAGGTGGGAGAAAGACGGACAGGTTGGGGTAAAGCATTCTAGAGAAGTCCTGGAGCAAGCATGGGAGGAGTTGATGAGGAAGCTGGAAAGCAGGTGGTCTTGGGAGGAGTGGAGGGGACGGTTAGGGTGATATTTTGAGACAAGGGGCAGAGTTGAGGATGGCTTTGTAACTGATTGTTATTATTTGAATGTTATCCTTTGGGCGATTGGAAGCCAATGGAGGGATTGCATTGCACCACCCCTACACAATGCATGCCGATGAATGTGCTTTATGTACAGAATAATGCATCGCTGCTGGGGTAAACAAGCTCTTAGGCTGATGTCACACTGGCAGTGCTGTCACTGCTAAAATGTGCAGGCAGAACACTCGTCTGTGTCAGTCTCTCACCCCCTGAATGAGCCTGGTGTCATTCCCTCGTGGCCGGAAAACGCTGCAGGTCACCTGTAAGAGAGTGAAGCCATGCTGATCCAGCCAGCAGCGGGGAAACTAATGTAAACACTTCAGTGTTACATCTTCCTGCTGTGTCCTCCATAGTGATCCTGCTGCTAGTGAGGATTGCAAATGTTACAGGCCTTAGGTTGTCAGCCTTAGGCTGGATTCAGGCATACTTACAATGAATGCTGCTTCTTGATGTTTAAAAGTTCTAGTTTCCTGAGCGCTGGCCCCCATATCCTGTTTTTAGGGTTTCTCCTTTCCCTTGCAGAGTCCTATGGAGCACCCTTGCGTGTGCCAGTAAGCTGTGTGTGTCTCCTCAAACACAGACACAGCAGGGCAAAACATTCCTCTGCTCCCTTCTCCAAGCTAGTAGATGAGCAGCTGCTGGATTCTGCTCTGTCTCTTGTGATCTTGTACTGGACAGGAAGTCCAGGGAAGCAGGGCTGAGATAGTTGGAGCCAGCCATTCAGAAACATGATGACTAAGTGCTTGGCCAAAAATTCCAAGAAATACTTTGGGCAATGTATGTTTAATCTAGATTCATTATTGTAGAAGGAAACGTTGGGAGTGTAATATTACTTTATGTTGTCATTGTATGAGAGATGAATGTTGGTAGCTTCTTCCCCTCCATATTGTATACAGCTGCAGCGACTCTTAGTACTAGTGTATTGCAGTATGTCATGTTGTTATTTTGTGGTGTTTGTTCGCTGAGGTTTACACAGTTTGTACAGGAAGGAAGATGGTTTAACAGTATTACTATTTCCAGGTTATATTTCAGCCGTCTTGCTGCATTGAAAGATCTAGGTTGAGCAGGTGGGACGAGGTGTGTTAGGTTTTACACTTGCTGCATCAAACTGAGCGTTTTATGGCAGAATAGTGTAAAGCTGTTGCGTGGTCTGAGCCCTGGCCGGGCAATGACATGATAAATCACCGGTGTCCCTGCTCCCTTTCCAGCATCTGGCTTAGAAGAAAAGCTAATGAAAAATGGGAGTTTTATAAGAGGTGGTTTTTCAGCAGAGGCCCTTATTCTAAAAGGCTGCTTATTCTCAGCTCTTTGGGGGGGACAGAGGAAAAATCCATGGCTGTGATCTTGTCATGGGTGGGGATTTAAATCCAGAAAACACTTCAAATTTACGTTGACCGGCCAGAGGATTCTTGGCACTGAGGATTGCATATGCTCCTTTTGTCTTATTAATTCACCAGGGGTGTATTGGGAATCCAAGTACCAGCCATGCTTGGGAATTCTTTTGCTGGGATCTTCTTTCTACTTCGTCCAGATGTTTTGGGAATGGTGTAGTGTAATCTGGTGTGTCAGCACCAACATAACTTATTACATGACATGACCTGCACCCAGTAAGGGGGAATTAATTACTAACCTGTGTGGTTGCTCCATTATGATTCTCTGTTGTGTAATATGTGTGGGAAGGCAGATTTTATGTTTGAGATGCATTAAACACAATTGTCAATTGAGAAATGTTTTCCTGTTAGAGGCAAATGCTCAGTGTAAACTGCAGTTTTGTCCTACAATTCTAGTGATCCAGACACCCCTGCCGAGTCTGTGACCTCGCTCTTTCTCCACTGCTGTTAAGCAATGTAACTTGGTCATGG